ACCTGGAAGGAAAGCTGAGAAAGAGCGACTACGAAAATCAAAGAGCAAAGAAGTTGGAGGTGATGCAACAATTCTAAACTCGTTAATCTGTTAGCAGAGATGAAGGGAGAGAAACATGAAATGAATGAGAAGAAATTTGAAATATTTGAAAAATGTTATCTTCAAGAACAGCAACGTTTACTGCAAGAGAAAGAGAGAATGCAAATGGAGCAACTAAGAGAGGAAGAGCGAATAATGTTGATGGATACGAGTTGCATGCCTCCGTTGCAAGCTGAATATTTTCAACGCTGCTAAATAAAAATCTTGGGAAAGAAGATGTAATTATTCTTATTAATAGACAAACAACTTTAAATAGTAGTAATGATGCTATAAGTACTGTAATAACATTTTCTTAAGTAGTGTCTAGTAATTTCCATGCATATTCCACTGATGCTCGACCAGATCAGCTTGGAGTTTGGAATTAGTTTCTTTGTCTCTAATGCAATGTTGAGTATTAATAAAATGGAGCAGTTCTGAATTCCGCTTAGGTATGAATGTGGCAGTGAGACTCTCATCCATTGTATCATAACTAAAGTCTAACTTATTAGTGTTCCACTCATCTTTGACAATCATGTTATATAATTTTATGCATGCCTTCATAAATATCCTTAAGCATTTCAAGTGTCCAGAAACGTGCTGGTCCACGCACTATAGCAAATCGTGCTTGGAGCATTTCAAATGCTCACTCAACATCCTTTTTTGTTGACTCTTGAGATTTTGCAAAATGTATTTGCTTATTGCTTCTTAGAGATGAAATTGTTTTGACAAATGTTACATATTTTGGATATATACCATCAACAAGGTAATATTTTATTGTATAATCGTTTCCGTTGACTGAGAAATTGACTGGAGGAGCCCGACCTTCTAAAAGGAGAGCAAAACCAAAAAAACGTTCTAGTATGTTTATATTATTATGAGATCCCAGTAAACCAAAAAAGGCATGTCAAATCCAGAGATTATATGAAGCCACCGCCTCCAAAATAATTATTGGTTCATGAACGTGACCAAAATACATATCTTTCCATGCTGTTGGATAATTCTTCCATATTCAATGTATACAATCAATGCTACCCAACATCCTAGGTTACCCACGATTGGTACCAATTGCTAATAATCTAGCAATGTCATCGTTGTTTGGTAGCCTAAGGTATTCATCGAAAAAAATTGCTACTATCGGCCTCACAAATCTTTTCAAACTTTCTATTTCGGTGCTTTCACCAATCCTCATATAATCATCAACAACATCTGTTGCAACTCCATAAACAAACATCCTTATGACGACTATCATCTTTTGAAGGGAAGACAAGCCAGTAATTCTAGCAGTATCTTTTTTTTGGACAAAATATGGATCATAATCTTCCACCATAGATAGAATACTAAGGAAAAGGGCTTGATTCATTCGAAATCTTTTTCGAAATAAATTTGGGGGGATAGATAGGCAGTTCAGCAAAATAATCACGATATAGTCTCTCGTGTCCTTAAACTCGATTGCAAAAAATAACTGAATGACCTTGAATGAAATCACGACATACACCAGAGCTTTCCTCGCTATTGAGTTTGTTCATTTCCATAGCACAAATTGTTACCATCTCTAATTTATCATCAGAGTCAAAATCGTTAAGAATCATTTTCATTGCAAGATGGTGAACCAGAACATAAACACATAGAAGAGTGCAATGCCAATAAATGGATTTGAGGTGTATGACAATGAGAGATGGAAGATCATATTTATAGATATCCAAAAATATGACAGTTACAAATATGATCGTTGAAAAATTCAAATTTTAAAATTTTGAATTTTGTGACCGTTATAAATATGATCGTTATTAATAAAAATCAAAATTTTAAAATTTTGATGACGTGACGTAACATGTTAGCATGTGATGTCATCAATACTACATAGTATTTTAGATTTTAATAATTAATAGTTAGTTAAAATTAGTTCAAGTGGTTAACTAAAATAGTTAGCATGGTTGGAGTGAATTTGAAAAAGTGGTTAGATAAAGTAGATAATATAATATTTAAATATATTTTGAATAGTTATTTTAAATAACATTATTAGAGTTGTTCTTATATGTTACAAAATATCTCCAACAGATTAGAAGATAATTTTTTTTTTCTAGAAGGAGATCCCCTTATCTATATATATATATATATAAAGCTGCTTGAAGACAACAAATCAACATGGAGAAGTCGGCTTTGGTATGTAGTTCAAATGTTTCAGAGAGTAAATCTGGAGATGTGCAAGCTATCTTTGACATTCCTCAAGTCCAGGATCGTGAAAAATACTTAGGACTGCTTTCTGTGGTGGGTAAACCCAAAAAAAAAAAGTTTTTCCTGGCATAAGAAAAAGAGTTTGGAAGAGACTAGAAGGATGGAAAGAACAACCTTTTTTCTAGGGTGGGAAAGGAAATTCTGATCAAAGCAGTGGCCCAAGCAATTCCTACATATGTTATGGGATGTTTCAAACTGCCGGAGTATCTGTGCAAGGACTTAAGAGTCCCTAGAAGCCAATTTTTGGTGGGGACAAAAAGAGGGAGAAAGAAGGATACATTGGGTGAAGTGGTCTGATACATGTAAGGAGGAGGAAAGGGTAGCATGGGGTTTTGTGACTTACGGATATTTAATATGGCAATATCAGCTAAACAAGTGTGGAGAATTCATCATGAGACTAACACTCTCCTCCACAGGGTACTGAAGGCCGAATATTTTCCGTCTACCACTTTCATGAAGGCCAAGTTGTGTCACATACCTTCATATACATGGCCAAGTATTTTAGAGGCAAGGAAAGTTATAAAAGTAGGCTCAAGGTGGAGGGTTGGGGATGAGACAATAATTAAGGTTTGGCAAGACAAATGGATCCCAACACCAACCACTTTTCAAGTGGTCAGTCCAAGGATGGTTTTAAGAGAGGAGGATACTGTCAGCGAGCTCATCGACCCACATACTCGAACTTGGAAGGTAAACTTGATAAATGTGGCTTTTCTGGATCATGAAGCGGAAGTGATTAAAAGAATCCCTCTAGGGGCTTCTCCCACGGAAGACAAGTTAATTTGGCACTATAACTCAAATGGAAGATTTTCCATTTAGAGTGCATACCATCCCACTTATGAGAGTAACATTTTTCATACGGCGATAGCCAAGGGAAGCTCATCGTCGAATTCTGGGAACAACTGGAAGGCTCTATGGAATCTAAGGATCCCAGGTATGATAAAAATCTTTGCTTAGAGAAGAATGCGGTGAGAGGCCCTTCCGTCTAATGAAAACTTAAAGCGTCGAAAGGTTCGTCTGGACAATTTATGCTTTGTATTTGGAGATGAAACAGAGTTACGTTACATATTTTTAAAGAATGCACTTGGGTTAAATCATCTTGGGAAGGCAGCTCCTTAAACCACGGCCTACAACTTCCAACTAGTCATATGGAGTGCTGGTTCTGGGATTTGTCTCAATTATTTGAAGTTTAAACCCCACCAGCTCTCTCTCTTTCTTTTTGGTGCATTGTTGGTTTATATGGAGAAACAGGAATGAGACCCTTTTCCAGAACTCAAAGAGAGACACCAAAACTCTAAATCAAGCAGCACTTGATTATCTTAGCCAATACGAACATGCATTAGACGTCGGACAGCCGAGCACAAGCTGCTCAACACATGACAAATGGGACCCCCCAAGAGCTGGGTTTTTGAAAGTGAATTTTGATGGGGGGCAGTTTTTGTGCCTGAAGGAGCTATTAGAACGGGTATCGTGATAAGGGATGAAGAGGGCCTGTTCATCTTGATTTAGTAAATCAAATAAGGTAATAGCTACCTTTTAGGCATTGACAACTGAGGTTATAGCAGTTCGAGAGGCGGTGGAATTTGCGAGAGAGAAGGGCTGTAAAGAGATCATACTGGAAGGGGACTCGTTTAATGTTATGAAGATGTTAGATACTACTGATATGGATCTTTATCCTCTGGTAACATCATGGCAGGCGCTAGGACTACTATGAAGGGCTTCAAATTTTTTTTGTTTATCCACTGTAAGGCTCAATTGTAATTTTGTAGCACCCAACTTAGTTAGGTATGCAAGATGCCTTAGTGAATCTGATGTATGGAAAAAAATGGCACCTGACTTCACAATGTATTACACATATGGATGCAGGGTACGTTGTAACTTTGGTTTACATCTGATACATTATGTTGGAGAACACTGCAAAAACTACCTCACTGAGCTTATGGATTTCTTGACAAATAAAGCCATTTGGAAATAGATTAGGTTAATATTACCGATAGGCCTTTGGTCCAATAGTACTCCTTATCCTGTGAAGACTTTGTCTTTTTGAGATTGAGGGTTCAATCCCTCTTCCCCTCTCTCCACCCCCCCCCCCCCAAAAAAAAAGGTTAATATTAACCACTTTATTCTTATTTAACACAATAAATTCATTTAATTGAAAAAATAATCTGAATATTCTTTATTTAATGTTTTGTTTTTTGGTCGAGTCTTGTGCATGTTATTGTAGAAAAAAGTTACTTGTTTCTATGTTAGTTATTATGATGGCCACTTAAATTATGGGGCGGGAAAAATGGATTTAGATACCTTTAATAAGTGAAGGCCTTATACTTGTATACAAAGTGTTTTTTTATTAGTAAATGTTTCATTAAGAAAAATTTTTTTCTTAAAAAAAGAAATGATAAATATTCATTAATTAGAAACGTCAGAAAGGAGGATTTTAAAGTTGTAAACACCAATAAATCAAATAAAAATTCAAAAGCTCATATATTGGAGTCACAAGTTTTGCTTTCTCTCCCCCCCCCCCCCCCCCCCCCCCAAAAAAAAAGGTTAATATTAACCACTTTATTCTTATTTAACACAATAAATTCATTTAATTGAAAAAATAATCTGAATATTCTTTATTTAATGTTTTGTTTTTTGGTCGAGTCTTGTGCATGTTATTGTAGAAAAAAGTTACTTGTTTCTATGTTAGNTCATATTGAAGTTGTATCCACCAAAAATAAAACAAAAAATTTGCAAAACTTGCATATTGGAGTAGAAGTTTTGTTGGCGCGGGCTAACCAACCGGTGTCTTTCAAAGTCCAGGAAATTGCAACACAAGACATGCAAAGCACGAAGCTATGTGTGAATATCCATAACATTGTTTTGTCATAGATATTAGAGAGAGATGTGATAAAAACCTAGTACATACACTGTGTGCAACATTATTTTGTTTAAAGAGGACACAACATATCCTATGCACTTTCCATTAAGTCAGACACAACTGCACCTCAAAATGAGCCAGGTGAATATCACCTTAATCCAATATATGTGGTTTTCCACTGGCCTTCTGATGATTCTGAAATTATGGAGTTTTTCTGGTTACAAACAAGATCCTTTTGCCCTTTGAAGCCCTTGTTCAAACAGTGTAATGCTGCTGGATTGTATCAATGTCTAATCCTTTCAGCTTCACAACTGATTCCACATGCCCCTTCAGCGTATTCAACTCCCGGAGCCTGCAACCACAAAGAAAATCCATATCTTCTAAGCAACTCCGTCAATTCAACCATTCATCCAAAATATAGGATAAAGACTACAGTACCAAAGGAGGTCTGTAAGCGTCTTTATTGGGTCAAGTTACAACAACATAAATTATGATCAAGCCTAAAATGCTTAGAATTGATCCTCTTAGGATCGGCCCCAAATTGTAGATTGATGGCCATGACCTAAATTCCCGGCCAAATTCACTGACATCATATAGGTAAAAACATTTTGCTGTTTTTTAAAACCTTTTTTAGCATTCAAATTTACTTATAGCTGATTTGAAGTACTCATTCAGATGAGCAAAACATCTTTTAACCATCAACAAAACAAACTGTTGTCATCCCTGCCACGAATAAACACCGGTCCAGTTACAGTATGCAAGAACCAAAATGGGTTGAGCCTAGCCTTAGCTATTCTCTCACCAATAAAAATGGTTCCCGGATAATCTCCATCACATTTCAATGGCAAAAGCGACAGACCTAAATAAGAAGCTAGTTGCTTACCTTGCAACCTCTGCCCGCCGTTTAGCCTGCTCTGCGATTTCTGAAAGTTCTCTGTAACTGGTCTTGTCAGAAAAAAGATTAGTAGTTTCAGGTGGTTGAAGGCCATGTAGAGTCCTCTGTGCAGCAGCCCATTGTGCTTCTCTCTCCTCTTTCCCGTAGTTTGACTTAGTAGTAAAGGCAGTCTATTTGAAGAAGAAAGCAGCACAAGTATTAGATCAGAGACAACAGAAAATACAGAGAATGAACCAATTCTTACTGAGATGACATTCTAATAGAATTATATTAGCATACCTTGTTCTGCAAAAGATTATCCCAAGCTTTTCCACTTAAAACATAGCGGATGGAAAATTTGAGCAAGTCAAGTGGAAAATAGGTTACCAAGCTGAAAATCCAGATGACACCAGCCCAACCCCAGCCGCATCCTTTTATCTTTGCAAATCCCCAGTTGGCATAGACGGCAATCAGTGTAGCAATCTGTCAATAACATTTAATAAAATCAAACCATCTATTTTTTTGTCAAAATTGGGTATTGATTTTTTCCCAATATGTAAATTCAGATAAGGGTACTAGGATACACATATGGAGACTCGAATTCAGCCATTTGAGAAAAGTAGGTTAGCAAGAGTTTAAAGCATATCATGAAGCTTTAATGAGCCCTTTTTGTTCTGCGTATGATGCAATCACAGAGCAGAGAATCCAGTGTACATATAGAGGTTAGTAAGTCAGGAAAAATCTTACCAGCTGAGCTATTACGAAAGCACCGAGCAAGAGTAATCCAGGGCGTTCAACAAAGGACCAGCTGCGAGATCTTGTAACAAATATGAGGGCTTGACTGATAATACTCACTTGTAGGTACAGTGCTGCCATCATTTCAGGAGGACTATCTTTCAGTGGTCGGACATTAAACGTGTCCTGCATTAAGCCAAAACAATTAACAGAAGGATTAACATATATCTAATGATGCCAATTTGCACAAATTATATAGGATAACAAGGTCAAGTGTATCTTACTGGAAAAAAGTCTCTATCTTTCATAAGCCAGAAGAATACTACAGTCATTAAGGCCAAGTAACCTCCAAGCACAATGCCAGTAGCAAAAATCTCTTGCAGTTTCCAGCTGTCTGGCATTGGAGATGGCTTCACTCGATCCTTGGAGATAGTCATGATTGTTCCTGGAGGTATATAAAATCAGATCATGATCATGAATTCAACAATATATGAGCAAAGAATTTTGTTGTTATTTTGACTTTAAAGTTTACTGCTAGATCTGATCTTACCATCATTCAAGATGGCAATAATAAGCACCATGAACGGAGCAAAGTCAAACTTCCATATTAGAGCAATAAGCATGAAGCCAAACTGCATTAGAAATAATCAGAACAAACAGATTTATTAATCACTCAATCACAATATCCCAGATATTTAATGTACACTTACCACAATTCGGATAGTAATCGAAACTGCATAGATCTGCAGAAGAGCATGACCAAAGATAGTGAGTTTAGATGCTTACAATTTCAACTCAAAAAAATTGAAGGGTTGCAATAAAAGGAACGGGGTAACGCACAGTATAGTTTTTCATCCTCTGAAAAATAGCCCTGCTTGTCAGCACTGCACTTATTATGACACTCAGCCCAGGTTCCGTGAGGACAATGTCAGATGCACCTCTAGCAGCATCAGTAGCATCAGCAACGGCAATACCAATATCTGCCTTCTTTAGAGCAGGGGCATCGTTGACACCATCTCCCGTCATGCCACATATGTGCTTTCTTTCTTGCAACCTCTTCACAATTTCATACTTGTGTTCTATCACATACATAGCAGCCCATCAAAACAATGAAGTGCTGTTGTCTAAGTATATTGGCTCACATAATAATTTAGATGTAGTGGATTTGATATAGAACTCTCCATGATTGAAAGGGTTGAAAGAAATGGTTCGTTTGATTCATAAAATATGGGATAAGATAACAATATACAAAATAAAAACAGAAAACTGACCTGGAAATACTCCAGCAAATCCATCAGCCTTCTCAATTAACTCATCAACAGGAAGGGCTGCAATGGATGCATCCTTGTCTTGGCCGAGCAGTGCAGAAGAAGGGTACATATTTGTTCCCATCCCCAGCCTGCGCCCGGTTTCTTTGCCAATGGCGAGCTGATCCCCTAATTAAGGAGGGATTATATATGAAAAATACGAATGGACAAAACAGTGGGGGAATAAGATGAAAATTAAGGAGAACGGATAATAATCAATACCAGTGATCATCTTTACGTTTACACCCAGATTAAGAGCTCTTTTGATGGTTTCTGCACTATCATGCCTGGGTGGATCAAACAAAGCTAACAAACCAACCAGCTGCCACGGTCCCCCTGGACTCTCTTTTGTTTTCTCGGGTACTTCCTGCAAATAATTGTGAAAGCTACAAAAAATAAGGCATCTGATTAAATCAACGAGAGTTGATACATTCGGCAAACATTTGCAAACCTGTCTGGCAACTGCCAAAGATCTAAGTCCACGTTCAGCAAATTTATCGATTACGGCATGAACTTTCCTTTTTACATCCTCCTTGCAGTTACAAAGGGCTAATATCTAATGCATAGAAAGGAAACAAGTCACTCTTCTATCACCCTAAAAATACTGTTCTATGTTCTGACTAAGGAATACCAAGGGTACCTGTTCTGGTGCACCTTTGCTAGATCGATGCCAATTTCCATCACTATCAATGTAAGTCAGAGCAGTTCTTTTATCCACGGGGTTGAATGGAAGAAAATGAAGCTCCCTAATACCAGCACGTGCCTGCCAAAAGTAAAAAAAGAAGCAATTACAATCATCTGTCTGATTTGATAAAAGTATAAATAGCATAGACCTGTAATGAAGGAAAAAAATATTGACCATCTACCTCTTTTGGGTCTCCAAGCACCCCCACAATGGCAGCATCAATGGCATCCTGATTTTCAGTCCTTGAAGCCCTTGCTGCCAGCAGGATTACTTGCTCTCTATCCATACCCTTTGCAAATACTTCAATCAAGCTTTTGTCAACTGTCAGCTTGTTCAGGGTCAGTGTCCCGGTCTTGTCACTGCAAAGTACATCCATGCCAGCCATTTCCTCAATGGCAGTCATTCTCTTGGTGATTGCACCCTGCTGAGAAAGTCTGTGGGATCCAATAGCCATTGTGACAGACAAAACAGTCGGCATAGCGATTGGGATTCCACCAATCAATAGAACTAGTAAATTGTCAATTCCATCCCTGTACTTGCGGTGCTGTATCGGGTACATGACTATAATCTCGATGATTATTCCAATGAAAATTGAGCAGATGCAGAAGTTACCAATTGCAGTAAGAACCTTCTGGAAGTGTCCAACTTGGTTGGTGCTGTCTACTAGATGGGCAGCCTTACCGAAGAAAGTATGAACACCTGTAGCAATAACAACAGCTTCAATTTCTCCCTGCTTACATGTGGAACCAGAGAATACTTCATCCGATGGGTTTTTAGTGACAGGGAGAGATTCTCCAGTCAAAGCAGACTGATCCACTTTCAGGGGATCGCCCTCAAGAAGACGAGCATCAGCAGGGATTATATCACCCAACTTAATGCTTATGATATCCCCTGGAACTAGAATTGATGCATCCTGCTCAGTCCATCGACCGTCTCTCAGAACCTGCATTTCATTACCACAAAAACTAAAGTTACGCAGAGTGTTAGCTTGCGCATGCGTGCACACACACACAGAGATAGGGGTGTGCAAGAATCAGAAAATCCGACATCGACTCTGCCTCCGCCAGAGTTGGGAATCTTTTCCGAAAAAACTTGGACTCCAACCCCGACTTTAATTAATAAATAGTTTTATATAAATTATAAATTATAAATCATATAATATATTATTATATTAAAATTTAAAATTCCTATCTAAAATTTGGGCCAAATTCCGATATATAATTTAGAAACTAGCCGAAATGCCAAAAAAAGTCCAAATCCCATTCAAAATTGCCCCAAATCCCACCAAGAGTCGAGAGAAAAATATAAGAAAGTCAATAGAAATTGTCTCAACTTCGAAACTCCACCTCTAACAAGGCGGAGTCGGAGCATATATATATATATATATATATATATATATATATATATATATNCTTTGCAAATACTTCAATCAAGCTTTTGTCAACTGTCAGCTTGTTCAGGGTCAGTGTCCCGGTCTTGTCACTGCAAAGTACATCCATGCCAGCCATTTCCTCAATGGCAGTCATTCTCTTGGTGATTGCACCCTGCTGAGAAAGTCTGTGGGATCCAATAGCCATTGTGACAGACAAAACAGTCGGCATAGCGATTGGGATTCCACCAATCAATAGAACTAGTAAATTGTCAATTCCATCCCTGTACTTGCGGTGCTGTATCGGGTACATGACTATAATCTCGATGATTATTCCAATGAAAATTGAGCAGATGCAGAAGTTACCAATTGCAGTAAGAACCTTCTGGAAGTGTCCAACTTGGTTGGTGCTGTCTACTAGATGGGCAGCCTTACCGAAGAAAGTATGAACACCTGTAGCAATAACAACAGCTTCAATTTCTCCCTGCTTACATGTGGAACCAGAGAATACTTCATCCGATGGGTTTTTAGTGACAGGGAGAGATTCTCCAGTCAAAGCAGACTGATCCACTTTCAGGGGATCGCCCTCAAGAAGACGAGCATCAGCAGGGATTATATCACCCAACTTAATGCTTATGATATCCCCTGGAACTAGAATTGATGCATCCTGCTCAGTCCATCGACCGTCTCTCAGAACCTGCATTTCATTACCACAAAAACTAAAGTTACGCAGAGTGTTAGCTTGCGCATGCGTGCACACACACACAGAGATAGGGGTGTGCAAGAATCAGAAAATCCGACATCGACTCTGCCTCCGCCAGAGTTGGGAATCTTTTCCGAAAAAACTTGGACTCCAACCCCGACTTTAATTAATAAATAGTTTTATATAAATTATAAATTATAAATCATATAATATATTATTATATTAAAATTTAAAATTCCTATCTAAAATTTGGGCCAAATTCCGATATATAATTTAGAAACTAGCCGAAATGCCAAAAAAAGTCCAAATCCCATTCAAAATTGCCCCAAATCCCACCAAGAGTCGAGAGAAAAATATAAGAAAGTCAATAGAAATTGTCTCAACTTCGAAACTCCACCTCTAACAAGGCGGAGTCGGAGCATATATATATATATATATATATATATATATATATATATAAAGCTGAGTTTGTAATTAGTTTTTAACCTTAGTTTTGGGAGCAAGTCCAGCCATAAGAGCCGCAGCCGCATTACCAGCATTGTTTTCTTCAATAAAACTGATCGTTGAGTTGATAACCAATAAGGCCATAATGCCTACGAAATCCTGCCAATCTGGAGGCCTCCCATCGCCATTTGCTAGGGCGATAGCCATCAAAGCTGCAGCTTCCATAACCCATGACAAGGGGTTCCACATAAAGCCCAAAAACTTGAGGATCTTGCTCTCCTGTTAGTGAAATATCAAACCATCATATGCTGTGTGATTAAGTTACCAAATTAGGATGCAGAATAGTAGAAGAGAGACAAATTTGACAATTGTCGGACCTTTTTCTCCTCCAATTTGTTTGGACCAAAAAGATTGAGCCGATTGGCTCCTTCGTCTGCTGATAGACCTTCTCTTGTACATTTCAACTGCTCAAACACTTCCTCTATAGGAATTCTTTCCTGCACATCAGAAAATTATGAACAGAACCCATTTAATAGGCATCAAATACACCTACTGGATTGGTTGCTTCTCATGATAAATAAATACAATTATTCATGGTGTAACTTGAACTTGACTATGCTTAAGGGCTCGTCAATCTGACAAGTCACAGAATCAGCAAAAGAGATGATTAATTCATTAAACATTAGCCGCATCAATTGGTGCCAAATTGGATTACCATCCATTCAGAGACAATGTCTCTACCTTTCATATGACAACTTCTACCTTCACTCTGATGAAAAATCCAAATTTTGAATAGCTTTGGATTTAACCCAAAACTAATGATATGCCACACTAATGTCTTGTGTATTGAATGTTTACCTAATGAACAGTGCATTTTGTAGCTATAATAATAGTTTAAAATAAAGGTCATCGTGTTGCTCTCCATAGTAAACAGCAGATCAAATTGTGACGTACAAATAAAAATAGAAAGAAAATAAGCAACAGATAGAGATATGCATTTGAATTATAATTTTTTTAGTTTTATTTAGATTTTGTAGCATTACTCCTCAATAAAACCCCAATAGAGTCACTAAACTTGAGAATGAATGATTAAATTCGATTGAAATTGAAATTGAAATGAAAAGGATTCAAAGCCTATGGATCATCTCGAACACCAACTTTAGACCCATTAGACCAGATAAAAACATTTTTTTTAATACAAAAACAAAAATTACGGACAAGGAAGTACTAAGCAAGTACTCAATGATCAAAATATCGTTTCGGTATATTGTTTCGATCACTTAAGAAACGAAAATTTTTCGACGTATTTTGGAAATGTTTCGATGCGTTTCAAAAATATAATGAAAAAAAAAAATTTTAATTATTTTTTTAAAAACATTGATAGAAATATATCAAATATTTTAAAATATTTTAAAATATTATAATACATTTAAAAATATTATGGTATACCTCAAAATATCAAAATTTTAATTTTATCACTGTTTTATTTTAGTCTTTCTTAAAAATAAAAACGTTTCGCTCGTTTTGAAACAATATTTTGATGCTAGTTGACGCAAACGCCCGTACCCCAAACCGGGGAAAAAAAATAGAGTACAAGGGCACTAAGAAGAAAAAAAACACCACCTAATGGATGATGCCCAGGTTTTAAATATTTAGACTCCAGTCCAGATTACCCCCAAAGATTTAATAATAAAGCAGATGTTTTTTAACGGTCCCACGCGCAAAGAAGCGCCTGAATTGCACGCAGTCACTATTCGTCGCATATGTTTTAACTTAGAATTAGATTGTATTCATAGCCACCCACGTTTCATTGAAGAATCCCAGTTCCAAGAACAAAAGGGCTTCTTTTGAAGAAACGTAATAAACTAGTAATCTTTTGTGGTTCTTAGCTTTGAATTTAAGCTCAGAACCTAAAAATCATAGACTCCAAAACGCACGCTCTCTCTCTCTCTCTCTCTCTCTCTCTCTATCTCTCTCTCTCTCTCACACACACACACACACACACAAAACGCACACACACACACACACACACACACAAACACAAATACATATGGTGATCATTAGACCATGTTTGGCTTAGTTTAGATCAGAAAGTTGTTTATGAAATCAAAATCGACCAAAAGTTTCAAGCAGAAGCCATTTGGCCAAAAAAAAATAATAATAATAAAAAAAAAAGCCAAGTGGGAGACGGAAATGAATTCTACCGGTTTTAAAACGAAAAAGATATATCGCTAGAAATGAAAAATCTAAAGAAAAAAACACACACACACACACACACATATATAACATCGTACACAAGAAAACTGACATATATTTATGATATGATCTAGGGGACGTAGCGGCATGTTCTTATGTAATATCGAAATCACCCAAAAGTTTGAGAATTCGTTTTAATATAATATAGAATTTATGGAAGTTCCAAAACTATACTAGAACGCTCTTCAAGGACTTGTCGAAAGGTTTATCACCTCCGACTTAATTCCAGAACCCATCTCTCTGCTCACATACACGCACAGAGAGAGAGAGAGAGAGAGAGAAGAGGAATACCAGATCGACGGCCTCGTTTTTGATTTCTTCGAGACTGATAGCTTTGTTATTGCTACCCATTTTCGGGAAGGGGAGAGAGAGAGAGAAGGCAAAGCCTCAGGCACTCAGTGTAAGAACGCCTTGGAGAGGCCTATATATACATATATATGATTATATGAGTGTGTCTCTCTATATATAAGCAGAGAAAAACGTAGAGGGTACTCGGGAAAAGTCTAGGAGAGAAGGAGGTGGTGGAGGTATGAAACGCTGGATCTTGGCCGAAAGACGGGTGGACTCTGCCATTCTATGGTCCATATATATCTACTCATTAATAGAGAGAGAGAGAGAGAGAGAGATATGACTCAACCTGCTATTTTATTCTACGCAGTGTGTGCGTGTCTGTTTAGATATGCACCCAAATGCCCAGATTACTGTAAACTAATTCCAGCGATTATGCTCTGCTCTGTGCTGCAGAATGCAAAACAGAAGATTATACCCTGTGCCACTGGGCCCCACAGCCCTTTACTGAAATAAGAAGCGTCCATTTGACTTCAATGCGTTCGGATCCTCTTGTTTTTTAAATTAAAGAATGTTATTGAATTTAATTTATTATTTAAAATAATTATTCTACCATCATTAAATTGACAGTAGAATTCAGTATTTATTAGGACTCAAAATTAATCTAATAATTATGATAGATTAAGTTTAAAAATTAAATTTAAATAATATTATTGTTTCAAATTATTAAATAATCTTTTATTAAATCTTTTATATTTAATTGATTTGTCAACTGATATCCATAAACCTATGTTAATGATACCCAAAAAATTTAATGTTGATAGTTGAATTTGATTAAAATTGATAAAGCTTTAAACTAAGAGAATCAAATTTATGTAGTTCGACAAATTATGTGTTAGCACAATATTTTCAATAGAGGATTGGGATCAGAAATTCAAAACTTGTATCTACCAATTAAAAAAAGAGAATCCAAATCCAATTTTAGCTTGAAATTTGCTTATAATAATAACTATTAAACTAGTATTGGTATGACTTCGTATGAGACTCTGTACAAAATACCTTATAAATCTCATCTGTGTAGGGCTAAGGTCCGAGAAACGCAATTTGTTTGTTTAGAAATTATTAAAGAAACCATGAAAAAAATACAAATAATTCGAAATCGATTATGCATTTGTAGAAATTAAAAAAATTAGTAAATAAAAGTCTATAATTGAACTCAAATCAATTAGATAAATAAAATTGAATTGGACCTAAATTCCAGCCCAAATTTAATTAATAAGGCTTGTCAAATTAAATTAAACTGGATTTAAATTCCATAGCCTAAATAATATAAGCCCAAATTTATTTAATTAATGAGGCTTGTCAAATTAAATTAAACTGGACCTAAATTCCATAACCTAAATAATATAAGCCCAAATGCAATTAATCAGACTTGTTAAATTAAAATAGACTTAAATTTCATAGGCCCAAATTAAATAAAATTTCAAAAGGTAAAGTGAGTTGGACTTAAATTCTATAAATTAATTAAAGCCTACAAATTTATGGGTAACCCACTACCTAAAACCCATATAAGAGAAATAAGGATTTTTATATGGATAACTATCACTCTTATATGAATAACTACTTCTGGCACTATAAATAGAGGTATAGGGGAAGGCCAAAAAAAGGGGGGGTAAGAAGAAAGGAAGATCGGCGAAGCTTTGCTCAAAGTTCACTAAAACCTTAAACCGTCGCAAGTTCATCTCTGGAAAGAAGAATACATCGTAAAGGTCATTCTTCAAGAAATTCAAATCATCTTCAAGTCATTTCAAACAAAAAACGGTGAGAAGATTCATCAAATGTATCATCAAATTGAAGAGTGGGAGATACATTGATCCAGTTCTCGTTTTCATTAAAGCCACCAATTGAAGAACAAAAAATACGCCAATCAAACCCTTATCTTCACCAAATTCATCATTTTCATCAAATTTACAAAGAATCAGAGGATAGTGCACGTAAGAAGCACGCCAAAGATAGTCAACACTATATATTTTTATTTAAAGTCAATCAAATTGATTATTGTAATTTGATCTCATTTTTGGTTAATTTATTCACAAAAATTGTCGTTACAACACTGTTCAAAGACAAAAAAAGTACTATGTAGACCAAATGAGAAGATTATCAGAATTCCAAGCGAGAGATTATGTATTTTTAAAGGTATTTTCAAAAAAGAAACTTGATTTGGGAAAAAAAAAAAGAAGATAAGTTAGCTCCCAAATACATTAGAGAAAACGACAGAGCCAGTAAAAAAAAGAAAGCAACATGCTCTTCATATGAAGGAGGAGTAGACTTTGGTTTACAAAAGCAAGAGATATGATCAAAAAAACCAAAATTTGAAGGAAGATTAAGCAAAATATGGTGAGGTTTAAAACATGCAGTTATTTTAATCCCTGTTGTTGATAGTCATGTCAAATGAACAACATCAAGAATAGATGGGGATAGGGGTGGGATCCGACTCCAACAGAGTTGGAAGACATGAATCCAACGTCCAACTTTGACTTTAGTCTGAGTGAGTTTTCCCCTCCAACTCCAGCTCCGCCAATCGGAGTCACAATGGAATTTCGAAAATGGACATAATCCAAAAAAAATTTATACCAAACAATGTACATAGATTTTACAACGTAAACTCATTTAGATGAAACTTTAATCGGAATCGTAAAAACCACATCAATATAAACACACACACATACATCTATATATATGTGTGTGTGTTTGTGTATGTGTGTCACTAAGGGTGTCCATGGGCTGGGATAGGCCTGGGTAATATAGGTTCAAGCTCTTACCTAAGTGAGTTATCAGACGGGTCGGATTGGGCTTCAGGGAGGGGTAGGCTACCCGCAATCCAACCCGTGAGCCTATGGGCGAGCCAGTGGGCAGGCCTTCTGGGCAGGCTTGCTCGCGGACTTTTTATATACAGTTTCATTTAAAAATAATGAATATGTTTGTAACTTAATATGTGTAAAAATTATATTTTTTAATAAAAAATAGAGTCAAAATGGATAAAAAAATAAAATAATGAATAATTTTATTTTTGATTAGGAGATGAATTACATCCAATAGAATGAATACATTCCAACTAAGTTGANGTAAATTATATTTTTTAATAAAAAATAGAGTCAAAATGGATAAAAAAAATAAAATAATGAATAATTTTATTTTTGATTAGGAGATGAATTACATCCAATAGAATGAATACATTCCAACTAAGTTGACACCTACTCACTTACTTATCTATCATTTGCATTACTCTACCCTTCAAAACGTGTATGCTTAATACATGAAAAATAAAATAATATATTATTTATAGTATCTAAATTTTTAAAACTTCAAATTCAACATTGGGAGATTTATTTCAAAATTTCAACATTAATGATCTAAAAATATAACTTTTTTTCAAAGAAAGGGTGGGCGGACAAGATCTTGGGCTGAGTTTTCTCGGGCGGGCTATTGGGCGGGGTAATGGGTTTGAGGGCAAACTCAAGCCTATTTTTTAAGGATATTGGGCTCAGGCGGGTCAACTATCGGGTTGCAAACCTATTTTTTCGGGCCGGATAACGGGACCTGTGGATAACCCGGTCCATGGACACCCCTATGTGTTATTGTCTAAGAGAGCTTTGTTGGAGATGAGACCATCGTTGGTGAACCATAGCTGCTTTGTTGATGTCTATATCTGACATCTAAGCTCTCAGATTTGAGGATTTGTACGTGATTCCATTGGAAGACTGATATCTATCATCGACTGAGAGAGAGAGAGAGAGACGATTTGGTGTGAATGGTGGGGCTCGAGTATGGTTATAATTGGTGGGGTTGGACTTAGAGGCTAGAGTATAATAAGATATAATTTTGAATTTATAATAATATATTATGTAATTTATAATTGATATAAAAATTAGAATTGAAGTCTGAATTTTTTCAGAAAGGATTTCAAATTCCAACTCTAACTCTGATCAGAGTTTGAATATTTCATCTGACTTTGACTTCGACGAAGGCAGAGTTGGACCGGAGTCGGACTTAGTGTAGAAGTTTTGAATAGTTGCACACCCCTAGATGGGTACATCGTATTAAGAGGGAGAAACATTGCATTGTAGGATTGCAACAAAAAACAAATTGTTGCACCAATGAGCCATCGGTTCATATACAGTGGAAGGGTTAAATTTTTATTGAATCATATATTCTTTGTTGTCTCCATTGAGGAGAGAAATGATTCTTCATTTGTTTTATTCAATCTACCTAGGACCTCATAGGGTTGTTTCCTTGGTCCCAAAACTTCCACCAAAGGTGGGGTTGATGCAATGTTAGGGTTTCCCCTTTGAAAATAGGGTGTAAGTTAGACAACCATTGGAAAATATGTGATTTAAAAGCAGGATCCATTGTGAAATTTGAATTTGAATCTAAAGAAGAAATCAAAATATTGTGATCTAACGAATCTTATATAGCATACCTAATGCAAACAGGAAAATGGGGGGTAAAAGGTATTCCAGCAGTAGATGAAGAAGAGGATGGTTAGTTCATCTTTTGTTTAGATGTCATTTGAAGGTTCAGTTAATAAAAGCAAAGGGAATATGCTAAAGAACAAGAAGGATGAAAGAAGAAGCGCAAAGTAGAGTAAGACCAATAGTAGAGTCTTCAGACGTTTCTATAGTGTGTAGAAAGGAACAGTTGCACCCATTTAGATTCTACATAAGTTCATTCAATTGAGTTATCTATTAACCCCAATAAATTAGGGTGGCATTGTTTAGACCAAATTCTACATTTTTCTATAAAGAGGCGATGAATGACACCTGTCCACTAAATAAAGTCAAAAAAAAATTTGTCATGTATGATTCATTAAATTAAAAGTGAATATGTAGCTGGTCGATATGGCATGTTCAAATTCAGGAGCAATTATAACCTCTGTAAGGGAGGGAATGAAACAGTTATCTTAAAATTTGAAAAGATAGCAGTTACCAACATCAAATGGGCTCCAGGAATTTAAAAAGTAGCAATTGAGACAAGGAAGAAACTAGAGAAAGACAGAGTAACCATCGATGGGAAAGTGCCTATAAAAGGGGCATTAATTACAAGAAGAAGAAGATATGATCAAACCCATTAAAAACTCATGGCTTGGGCAATTTAGGAGTAGTTTTAACCTAGATTTAGAGTTAGGATTAGTTTTAGAGACTGTTTCATTAGTTTGTTGTAACCCAGAAATCTTTGAGATTAATAAAAATGTTATTTTCTTTTGTTAATCCTTTTACTGTCACAATCTTGCTTTAATTTCATCAATTGTGATCATCAAAGGAAGTCCTAAGATAAAACAATTGAACCCAACATCAATCAATCTTCTGAGATCTTTCTATAAAATGGATTAAGTCCATTGA